TTAATTTTTGGGAAGCATGGTGCTTATCTGCTGAATCGCTAATGTGACTAAACTAAGTGAATTTTCTTCAACCATAAATTTGAATTTGTCAATGACGAATTTAGTATTAGTCGAACGTTTTATTTGAAGTGGATGCGATATTTCAGCCTGATGATTCGCTAAAGGCATTTTCAAATATTCGGAGTCTGTTGTGGGAACGGGCTGTTAAAACGAATGACGGTGAGATATTGGGTCCGAAACGAGGAATCAAACGCGAGAAATGTAACTCAAGCGTGGCTGATGAGGCATCTTCGTTGACATCAACAACGTCAAGAAATAAGCAGTCTTCTGGCATTAAAGATGTCAAGAATGAACCGTCTTGTTCGGGTTTGCAGAGTGGCAACACCTCAGCAAAGGTTCCTTCCTCTGCAACACAACGTTCTCGTCGACCCAGCACATCAGCCACTCAGGTGACGAATACACGTAAAAGAGTAATCAACGACCCAGGCATCGCTCCATCAGATGGTTCATCTAGCACTAAACGCTCAAAAACTGTGCCTACACCAGGTAATTCTCATTCATTGAGCATCGTTGTGATATTCTCTTTCTTATTTTTCCATTTTGAAATCGATTAAGACTCAAACATTCTTCTTTTGCTTCAATTTCCAACCGCATGCCAAGTTCTCATCACTTTGATTATTTCAAAAGTCGAGGCACTTGTCCCAATTTTTTGTCCCATAAGCCAAATGTAGAATTTGTGCAACGAATTTTTTCGGACTACCAGAGAATCTTTGGAATACCAAATCATTTGAATCTTTTGAAATTTAGAGCGTAAAATGGGACATATAGTGCGTTGAAATCCTCCAGGAATCATACGGCTACAATTTAATCTCGTCAGCTTAGTGCAGGCTCAGGCTCTGGGTTTGAGCTTGCGATGAGGCGCATGTTTCGAAGCTCAAGCTGGGAGTGGACTAAATTAACCCGGGATTCGGTTTTCACCAATTTTTTTGAGAGGACGACTCGTCTACGATTACACCTTACCGATACTTTGTCGCAAAGAGCGTATAAAGAAGTGAAAAAAAAAGAATGAAACTCTTGATTTCAGCATCGCTCTCGCANCGATCCACTCGTCCGAGGCGTTCCTCGGTGCTCACACCGAACACTTCATCCGCATTCAAGGGCTATCGTTCCAGACCCGTTATGAGTCCATCGAATGAACTCACAACCACTGACAATAATTCATCAGCAGTCGACGAGTCAGCGAGTTCGGCTGCCGAAGAGTGTTCGTCGTGGTCTCGAAGGTCTGCAGCAAACAGTACGACGTATTCAGTTCGTCAGCGTCGCACGACACGATCAGCATCGCGACCATTCGCCTCACGACGGCGGTCCTCACGTCGTCGCGAACCTTTTATTGGTTCGTTCATTTCATCTTTCGAAGCTCAACGATTATATGTCGAATTCAAGAGCCCAATAATGATTCAATTGTACAGATTACAATCAGCAGTAACTTTTAGATACCGTCGAAATAGGTCAAGATTTTCAACATGATGACATTATCTGGGTTGAAGATCAAGAGTCACGTACCGTTGGTCATGTTATTGATATTTGTTTGAAGGTGAGTACATTTTAGTATAAAATTGTTGGTTGTTGATCGGAATAAATAATGATTCCATAGAGATTGTTCATATAAATTAACATTCATCTGATTCTGAATGCATTGTTCAGGTATTGCTGGATTCTTATCCAGTTGATGAAATGCTGGCAAAACGTCCAAGAACAGATCCAGGACAGTATATTTTGGTGCAGCTATTCGATAAGCATCATACGTGGTTAGTGTTGTCAGATTTATTCGATTGCTTTTGGAATTTCAATCGAAATTGGACGAATGACATTCAAAATTAGAAGATGAGAATGAAGGGAATTCTTTTTGATGATTTTGTTGTCTTTTTCATTCACAGCACCACTTTTTATAATTGAGCCATGATGTTTATTTTCAATTGAGTGTTTGCTGTTTAGGCGTTGGGTACCGCTAAAATGTGTTTCACATTGTGATTTGTCGAAAGCAAATTCATTCACTTCATCACACTCATCCGCTATGCAGTCTGCCATCAACGAAGCACGCAAATTTCGGTCAGTTTTATCTTCACTCGCATCTTTTTCTGTTGAGTCTTGGCGATGTTGTACAAACTAAATTGTTGTGAAATGCGTATCGTATGAGTCGGGTCAAATCAGAAATTATTTATAAGGTCAGTTTTAGGTTTGCTTATGAAAATTTTCTTCAATATCCGTTAGTGTTTTGTTTTTTGCTTCCGTAGGTTGAACAACGTTGATTTTGTATGAAATTAGGTTATAATTTTTCACGATGAGTTGTTATTCGAGTACGACCGAAAGCATTTCAATCGCTTTTCTTTCAGTGACGCTCGTCTTTGAAATGTGTTGGATATGGATGCGTTGTTTGTTACTGTGTAACACTGAATTGTTTTGAAATACACGGGATTTTATCAACCAAATTAAATTCTTCTTTTTTTTTCGATTGATAGACTCGTCTTGGTTTAGGTGACAGTTCATGACAAAATTCTCACAAATTCTTGGCCTCCATAATTCTTTTGGAGTTATTTTTATCGATTGTTGCCTATTGAGTTCACAGAGAAATGCTATGCTCACTTTACCAGGGCGAGAATAGACTTGAGTTGGTTGTTGTTATTGAATTGTGCAATATTCAGGATTATTGTACTTTCAAACAAATGGCGGCGTATATTTTGAATTGTTTTGTGTACGCATCTTATAGATTCATCTCCATTTATTTAGTTATTTTCTTTGTTGTTTTATTGGTACGTTTTTTTTNTTTTTTTTGTTTTTTCTTGCTGAATGATTACTGTGTTAATGTGTACATTGATCTATTTATTTGTTTTCAGTTGCTCTTCTCGTTTAGAATGCATATTATTGTTCCATTTGATTGTTTCATGTTCAGTGTAATTGACATCAGTTGAAGTTTTTCAACTGGTTTTGAATAATGAATTCAGGTGAAATCTGTATCGTTGTCTTTTTTTTGAGATGTGTTTCTCCAATGTTCTTCATCAATTGAAATTAACGATCACTCAACAAAAACCGAAAAGTTTTATTTTCATTGATATCGTTAGCTAAAGTCAGTTGTGAAGCTTCGGTATCCTGAACGGTTGTGCCTTGTTGTAATGATTGTTTGAAACGAGCGAGTGGTTGAGCGTATGTATATTCCGATAGATCTCATTGTGCAGTGTAATATTATATCATTTCATGTCTATGCATTCGCTTTAAGCATCACATCTCTCATCGATATAACTCTGTCTGTGTGGATTTTCCTAAGAAAATCGTTCGTAATTGTAAGATACTTATGATTTGTTCATATATGTGTTTATGTACTTGTATTACTGATAATTATTGAAGCTCGTAACCGGGAATTTCTTCGAGTACTTGGTGACCACTGTTTTGAAGGCAGTTTTGTTCAGTGAGAACAGGTTCTCGGTGTTCCGCAATCATGTAGACCAGAATTGTCATGGTAAGGCTTCGTAATAAAAATATACGTTCATTAGTCGACGGATTTATTCAGTTATCACTTGGTTATGATATTGATTGAGTTTTAATCTGACGTGAATTGTTATCTGATATGAAAGAGGTAATGTAGTCGGATAAGTTTTGACACTGTTATATCTGAACGATGCATATTCAGTAATTTCCGTTGTTATTGCGGTCGTGAATTGAGCACTTTCTTGGCGGAATGATCTTCTTCCATAAGTGGTAGACTTAACCGAATGAGATAGCTTCTACTCACATATCGTTTGCAGTACACAGTCGAATAAAATTTTTGAGCATTTTTTCGTCAGTGGGCAGCCAAGCGAATGAGCTTTGTTGTTGTCGTTGATCGTATGACTTCACGACGTAATACCAATGATTTTTCCATACTCAGTAGTTTTTTAATGAGACTGTTTTTATTTCGTGCATTCCATATTTATAGATGCATAATTTGCTCATGATCTATTTGTGTTTGTTAGATTCTTGGATTTCAAACGTTTATCATTGTTTCGTTTCGTTCGGTTCTCATCTTAACCTGACAATCAATTTTCATGAATGAATACAATTCTAATTGGTTCGATGTCTCAACTGAATGAATAACCTTTATGATTTTAACATTTGGAACGAATGCATTCTAACTGAATTGCTTAACAGTTTTCTGAACTGTATGATGCTTGAAAATGCACTCTAATTGTGCAGTGCAATTTGAATAACTTCACATTTGATGGAATAACTTTGCTTTTGATGAGAAATAATAACAAACAGAAGCGGATTTTTAATGAAAGAGGAAAGGAAATTTCTCAAGAATAGCCAAACTATGACATTGCATTAGTATTATACCAAAGTGGCTCATTGTCTTGTGTAGACAAAATATGAAATAATTAATCTTCTCACATTTTTCTTGCTTGAAATCAGTGGAGTTTTGTGTTGTTGATTATCGAGAATTGTTCAAATCTTCAAAATTGTTCGGTAATCAGCTGATTGAAGTGATCACTGATTGTTCCAATGCGTCACACCGCCATCCATCATTCGGTGTGGTGTAATTAGCAGTCAGAACTTGTTCACACATGATTATTCATCACAACAATCAGCGACTCATGCATGCATTTCGTTGGGGTGTTCGTTTCACTTTCACTGCAATTGTTATTCGTCGAACAATTACAATTATAATCTTACAATTAGCAAACTGATTGATTCATTTTGGTGACTTGTTTCATCAGATTCAACACTGACAATGAGTATCTATCGACATTCCACTGAAATACCATCAATTAAGTTTTCAATAACAAATATGAGAATCAAATGGATAAGCCGTTCAAGTATGACGAACTCGGAAAACAGATCGATGTGGATAGCAAAGAGACGCGATCAGATTCTCGAGAAAACATACCGCAAACAGCACTGCTGAATAAGCTGTTTCTGGGTCCAGTGCGAAGGACAGCTGCAAATTCAAACGTTCTCTGTAGTGAAAGTGTTGGAGAAAATTGTGTGAAATGTATAAAATTTTAAACTCTCTAGAGAAATACGATTCATTCGGTGTTGATTTCAAAGTCATGCGGCTTATTCACCAATGGTCACTGGAACAAATTCGAGACAGGTATTATATTTACCATCGCAATGATAGCGACTTGTTTTCGAGTGATTGATTGGAACGATTATTGTTGTTTTTCATTCAATTTATTGAACACGATCACTTATCTGCTGTCTGTTGTCTGGTGTCACGTTTCAGTGCAATCAAATGAACATAACCATTCGTAACCTCGCTAAATAAATGACTGACTGGAACAATGACTGACATATTCATAGCATTGTCATCGTTGCAGTTTCACGACCCATTCACGACAGCCGAACTAATTCATTACAAAAGTATTGTTGATTTTAATCGCCTCAGAATGAATGCCACAGCTTCAACCTGTTTGTCAAAAAATTTGGTTCTCAGTTTAACCTTGAAGAAAAATTCCGAGATGCAAGATTTAAGGAACTGCATCTGAATTCTTACAAACAGTTTCGTTGGCCATAGACAGCCGATGTGAGATGAAATCGGAGCGTCAGATCGTACAGTGATTTCGAACCGCTTACAAACATATCACTATGACCTTTGTAGCAGCCAGTGTCGAATGCATTTCAGCCGGTGTCTTCAGAACGACTTTAAAAGCAGGGAGTTAGCGCAAGAAATAAAGTTTTTGAGAATTACAGCAAAGTGTTTAAAACAATGACACAAACTCACATCGCAAGACGTAAATGTTCCACACTGAACAAAAAATACTGCAGGCAATCTGCAAACATGGATATTTCCTTTGCAAATGGAAGCCTAAAAGAAAGTAGGACTTTATTGGGTAAGCATTTATCTCATGACTCTTGAATACTTCAAATATTTTGAACGCAAAACATTAGCCCGATGCGGGGCTCGAACCCGCGACAGCCAGATTAAGAGTCTGGTGCTCTACCGACTGAGCTAACCGGGCTGGCAGCAATGGCGACAAAATTACTGTATACATAAATTGCGGTTGTTCAACATAATGTAAAGTGACATAAGAGGAGAAACTTGAATTAATCGAAGAAAAATGCAAAGGGTATATGGAAAGAGAACAATTCTGCATTAGGGCACTGTTCATGACCTTGAAAACAACACAAAAGGATTGAAATGATTCGCAGATCGTCTTGACTCAGCATTTGAATTGGGTTAATCATGTGTTTCATTATTTGATTAACCTCAAACATTCTAATAACATCCATGTTTCATCTGAATTCACGGCGCCTCATCATGCACAACCTAAAAACAGACAGAATTTGGGCGCACCTTCGTACCTCATTAATTATCGCCGTTAATCATTTCGTCAATCAATTGGCTAATTACTTAAATTTGAAAGAGTTCCAGATGCGAGTATCGGCGATACTTTTCTCGGAGCGCATTAATTCCTCACTGATTTGTTTACGAGCATTCTTATTGACCGATAAATTCGGAAAAATATCAGAAAAAGGAGCTCATCTGAGGCAATTTCTAGTCCTAATGAACAATTTGAACAATGAACCTGTTAGAACTTAACGATTATCGTCGATACATTTAATCGAGTTGACTTTATCGACGTTAATTTTTTAGTTAAAGAAGTATCGAGTATCTCGTTAATATTGTAGTTAACGGTGTCCAGTTCTGTGG